AATCAATCAGATGACATAACCAACCGAAAGGAATTGTATTATTCTACAAATTCATCTTGACGAGTTACACAAGTTTATTAGTTCACAGGTTTTAATTATTAAAAAACTGACTCTCAGAAAAGATGAGACATGAACACAATGATTCAATACTGAAAATTCTGAAAGTTCTTAATGCCCCTTTAGTCAAATTCCAAAACACAAACTAACAGCTCATTTGCTCAAATTGAATGATAGTTCTATTAGAACTCAAGCTTAAGAATTCTCTTTCAACTAGTGTTCCGTAATTATTCTACTTCTAAAAGGGCTGTTCACACACGTTTTTGCAATTAGTCTGCATTAATATTTAATTGTTGGTCGTTGTATCCAGAGTACTTGTTTCAACGGCTGTCTTTTTCAGCGTCTCATGCAATTAGCACCACGTTTTTAAAGAAGTTCAATTCTGATGCTCTCCATCTAAACCTTGTGTGAACGGCCCTCAAGACATTCTACAACACTGACATGGTCTGGGACAGTCATGGTTACATAATACAAGAAAAACAATTCGCACTGTTATCATGAGGAAAAACATTAAAAGACATGCAAAATCATCCCGTTATTAATTATTTAAAGATCAGTTTAAGCATTAACTGAATACCTTACAAACAGCTCTATTGACTAAAGCCACTTTAGAGAATTTAGTTTGAACTAATGCACTAGAATTAAACCCCACACAGAATAGTACACCTCAAAATTTCTAAACCAGCATCCATTTCCACTACGGACTAAATACAGACACAGTACAAACACAATATCACTTAATGGTTTCACTTATATAAAAATGAAATGAAAAACTGAGACCTCATGTCCACTGAAGCAGGAAGATAGATTAACTACAGGATCACTATAAGAGGTCAAGTTATCAGACTGCAGATGGTCCTTTCCTTCAGATAAGTGTGTATAGATGCGCAGTGACTTTGTGGCATCATGGTAACTGTCAGTGTGTGCTTGGACATGTGCATGCATGAGAGTGTAAGTGAGTGTGTTTATGTGAGTAAATTGTTTTCTGTTGGGGCTGTGTGTGTTAAGCTTTCTCTGTGGTTGTTAGGAGCTGTGCATGCTACTCGTCTGGTTTTCTCTTGGGCTTTTTAGGGTTGCGTGAGCGACTTTTGGCTTTGCAGAGAGGACAGATCGGTGCATTCCGATGGATCTGCTGGTGGCAGGAGAGACAAGCCTGAAAAAAGACAACAAATTAAATCAACATACCATCTCTTTCACTTCATACATATTGTATGCATTTAGAAATGTAGCAGTTTCTAATGTCTTTACATTAGGTAGAAAAGTTTGAGGTAAGTTTTTTTTTTATATATATAAATATTTTATTTAGCAAGGATGCATTAAAATGATCAAAAGTGACAGTAAAGACATTTTAGAATGTTACAAAAGGTTTCTATTTCAAATAAATGCTGTTTTTTTTAAATACGTACAGTTTGTCAAAGAATCCAGAAATATTTGATTGCTGATGTTTGAGTGTGTGTGCACAGATAGAAACGCAGTAATGTAAAAGTCTGTGCACCTTCATAGGTGGCGGCTGCTGGCGGAACGTCGCTGTCTGCCTGGCGTCTTGTTTCCGTGCAGCTTGAAGCTGTTGGGCTGCAGCTGCCGCCGCCGCAAGGGATTCTGGGATAGGAGGCTCCTGGGGTTCTGTCTGCCACTCAGCTTTTTGCTTTTCAAAGTAGCTGAAAAGAGAGGAAAAGCACACAAACAGTAAGCGATTTAGCCTTCCCATATACAATTACACACTCTCTGTCTCGCAAATTCTCTGACTCAGCTTTAAGAATTACTCTGTTGCAAACACAGACTCCTACACTGCAGTGACTCATTTTGAGGAGTTCCCCCAGTCAAACACACACACACACTCAGGAACAGTGTTACTAACTCCAATGAGAGCTTCTCCTCTTCTTGGCTGAGGTCGGGGAGTCTCTGTAAGCCGAGGGTCATCCTCAGGGCATCCACGTGTTCTTTCAGCGGCTTGTATTCATCGTGGAGACGTCTGGTTGTTTCCAGCAGTTTGTTCAAGTCACTTTCAGACTGTTTGATAGTGTTTTCCATCTGGGAGAAGAAATACAGCCACTCCATAAATCACAATGGTGTGAACCTAATGTTTAGACATCTGACCTGGTAACACAAAGGTTACTGGGTCAGATCCTGGACATCACAGAAAAAAAATTGAGCCTGTAAAGCTTCTAAAATATGTAAACTACCATTCAACCATTTGGAATTTTTAAAAAGTTATTTGATCATACAGTAATTCTGTATTCATGAAAATACAGCAAAAACGGTAGCATTGTGAAATATTATAATAGTTAAAATAACTGTTTTCTATTTTAATATATTTTAAAATGTCATTTATTTCTGTGATGGCAAAGCTACATTTTCAGCAGCCATTACTCCAATGTTCAGTGTCACATGATCCTTCAATCATTCTAATATGATGGTTTGGTCCTCAAGAAACATTTCTTATTATTATCAATGTTGAAAACAGTTGTGCAGCTTAATATTTTTTTCTGGAAACCATGATGCATTTTATTTTTTGATTCTTTGATGAAAAGAAATAACTTAATTATAGTTTCTGATCAATTTAAAGCATCCTTGCTGAATAAAAGGATTAAGTTTAAAAAAACAAAAAAAAATCTCACCGACACCAAACTTTTGAATGGTACTGTATATTCTAATAAGTTGCATATATATTACATAAGTTGCATACCTTTGAATATGTGCATTATGTCATAGTAAATGCAATGGATATATATTTATTTTATTAAGTGCACTACAAACATTATAAACAGTGCAAATCAATGAATCTTTTATCACCTGATGTGTGATATTGGAGAATGATTTTTTAAATTGTATTTACCACATTAATATCAGCATGTATGAGACGCAGCTCCTCTACATGAGCCATTTTCTCCTGCAGCAGAAGATCCATTTCCTGTTTGTACTCTCTCAGGTGCTTCTCTTCTGACTCCAGAGCTTCAAACTCACTCCTCAGTCGAGATTTGATCTTCTCCATCTGAATTGTCTTATTCCTGCAAAACCACACAAAACACAGTAAACATCCAGCCAATGCATGACAGCATATGACAATGCACTGCAAATGCAAAGTCTTCTGATATGGCGCATTGGGTTTTAAACGAATAAGGCATATATTATGTGGTTTCAGTGATCCGATCACAGAACGCTTTAGACCCCGTGTGTGCACATCAATATTTAACAAAACCAGACAATCATGTGTATGTCTGAGGCTTGTATAAATAATTAAGAGCTGTTCCGCAGGAAATGAACCGTTTGCTCTACACAGTTTCGTGTCTAACCACAACAGGATGCTTATCGCACTCATCTTCGCCAAAATAACGGTGCGATCAGAGACTTTGTTAATGCAAAACTAGTGTGGTGTGTTTTCAGATTTAGTGCAAAGCTGCGTGTTTTTATGGTTTCAGCCCTTTGCTTTTGCATCATGACCGATAGATACAAAGAGACTGTCAAAGGGAATTTTACATACTATTTTTAGCCTAAACATGCAAATCCATGCATTGCTTATGAAATTAAATGATTAAGGGGAAATACGCCGTTTTTTTTAATCTAGGCTGTATTGGCCAGATGTTGAACACAGGCTAGCGTGTCTGCTTTGGGATCAATCTCAGCTTTTCTTACCTTATTTCTTTGATGTTTTCTAGCTTGCACATTATCTCTTGTTCGTCCGCCATGGTGGACTGTGAAACTGTGAGACTTCTGTGGGAATAAGAAAGGAGGTAAAGGTTGTAGCGGATACACGTCTCATAAGAAAGACAATAGAAATGCTAACCAGCTGTGGACAACAGCAATACGGCGCTGACTACATTTCCCACAATCCTCGACGAGGTTTAAAGGGAGAGTGCGTTAACAAACGTTTGTCGGCCGTTAATGATTTTCATATTATATGTTCTTATAGGAAATATTGGGCAAGCCATTAAAAATGTAGCCATCTAAAATACCACCTACGTTTAGTGACAGTTGGTAGAGGCAAAAGTGCATGGCAAAGGTAACTTATTTTTCAGAAACTTCATATTTTTAAAAGTATGAAATATTAAACAGTCGCTTGTAATTTAGTTTAGTACATGTTTATTAGAAAACAAAGAAAAAACATATCCAGTAAAACAGAAAACAACTATATCGTCAGTTGGTGTCTGAACTTATTCGCATGACAGCGTTTCACTTGTCTCAAGCATATCAATGTACATACGATAACGAGTTCCATATTTATGTACACTGGTATTTACATGGTACTCCACGGTACAAAAACTGTGGATATTTATTCATGCTTTGAGTGCTTGATGTTATTAGATGTCTTTGTATTCCCCATTTGCAATTTTGGTTTCGATTGCTCGTAGATAAATATCCACTTCTTCTCTGTAATTTATCCACTTCATTATCCAGTAATTGTTTTCGAGAAACCAAATGATTCAGTCTGGAATGAACTAAACGATTCAGACCGAATCGCGAAGCGCGTTTGAGAAGTTCATCGAAAAGAATCGACTCAAAAGAATGATTCATTCGCGAATCGGGCATCACCACTTCTGATTCAAAACAGACAGACAACAGAAAATACAAGGCACGAGGCTTGAAAGCTCAATTATTGTCAGGGAAATGTATCGCTAAACAGACCTTCGCTACTGAAAAGCGACATGATCCAAAAACCAGCAACGTTACCACATAGCTACCGAGATTTATAGTTAAACTAACAGTTGGACCAGTCGTGGCGACTCTACCGGCATTGTTCATAGGCTGATACTTGATTGTAAAGGATTCCAAAATAATAACAACTGCTGAATACTGTATCAGCCTTCTGGACAATTAGAGTCTGGCGGTCGTATCGGACAGCGCGTCCGGGGTATTTTTAACCCTCGGTTGCTGCATTACCGGGGTCCCGTCCACCCACGTGCTTCAAAACGCTGAGACGGAGGCAGCAAAAAACGCACTTTCTGCGGCTCTGCCCGTCCGAGCGGAGCGACAGGGGGCGTCCGACGTGTTGCCGAAGCGCAGGCGGTGGGTGCAGTCGGGGCCGTTGTAGGGAAGGAGGGAGGGAAGTGAGAAAGGGAGGGCGAGAGGAGAAGGAGGGATGGAGATGGATGATAGATGCTTATGTAGCGCGTCCCGTACGTTTGCCGTTATGCTCGGCCGCAGACAAACTTGCATCCTCCCGTGACTTTCTTTCTTTCCCCTGCTGCCCTACCCATGAAGCAGGACGCAGGGCTGGGCGAATGCGTGCCAGTGTTCCGGAGCGCGTCGTGATCGCTTATTTATCCGTCTGATAAATGGTTTTGGAGCTCGCCGCGCCCGCCAGTGCAGGCCCTGCGCTCCAGCGCTGCATCCCGCACATCCAGCGGGTTTTCCGGGTCAGAGTGAGCTGCAGCACCTCCGAGTCCAGCTGCGAAAGCCCCAACGCCGGCTCCAGTATCATCGTAAACATCGAGGACGGCAAGGAAGAAGATTGCACTAAAGCTAAAGTGAGTATGAGTGTGAGAGAGCGCGTGTGTCGCAGGAGAGCTGCGCGAGCACGACATCGCCATTCAAGCTCTTTATTTCATTACATTTTCGGGTCTGTTTTTACTTTCATGGGCCAAATTAGAGACTTTGTTTATAGCCTCTATGATTATGTAAAATACATCCAATGTAAATGTTTCTGGTGAGGCGAAATGATCTTTAAATCACGGGTAGAACTGATGCTCACGACTCACGTTTCACAGAGATTTACTGAGTGCAGTTTGACATACACTCGTTGACCTTTGAAGAGACAGCCTAATAACAAGGACCTATCGTAGACACAATCGTTTTTTTTATATTTTATTTTAAGATACTTAAATGTATTACTTTGTCTTTAAACCTGACCTTTGCACAAACCTGTTGATATTGTTTGAGCTGTAGCAAGATATGATGTATGGCTCGTTCATATAGTGCAAGGCGCTTCAAATGTCAACAAGCAAGTCTTTGACAATTGTCATTATAGGGTATTTTCGAACATTTGACCCTCACAAGTCTAGCCAGATTTGTATACACACATTTATCCTTGAAAACTGTATTTTCCTATTTTTAGGCAGATTATCTTCAATATTAAACTTTTTTTTCCTTTCTATTCTTTATGCACTGAAGACATGAGGCATTGCACTTGCAAGATGCTGGTCATGAGAAATGAAGTGTCTTTGCTTGGGCCAAACAAAGTCAAGGCAGTTGAAGGGTGCGAACACCCACCCACACACACATTTATTTTGCATCCTGCATATATGCCAGTGTTATAGCACCGGCCTGTTGCTGCTGCATTTGTTTGTGTTTGAGTTTTGCATGAACCTAAAGCATTAAACGTATCTTAAATTGTGCAACTTCAGGTAAGTCTGTGCATCTCTTTGCAAGTGCATGCTTTCACCTCCTGCTGACTCTTTTGGCATAACTGCACCATAAGACGCTGCCACCCACTGTGTCTTCAGACTGAGTGCCTGAGCTCAGAGCTGCACCGTGGGCTTTAAATGGGCTTCATCTAGCCATGAGCTCCAGCAAAGAGACTCCACTTGTTGCTATGAGACAAACCAGCATAAATCTGTGTGTGTGCTCGAGTGCATGGTGGCCTTGCTGATTGTAAGCCTGTGTTGTGGAGGAGGTGAGGAGCAGAGAAGGGAAAAAGAGAAGCAAAACAAGGCAGAAATGAAAGGGGAAGAGCGAGGGAAGAAAAGAAGAAGGGGGGAGACATTTAAGAGGAGGATGCATTCTGTTGTTCGGCTTGTTTGTAGTGCGTCTGCTGTTTTGTTGCCGGCTGTTTGAGTCACGGAGTATTGTGTGATTTTTAGGACATGAGATATGACCTGTGTGGCTCACTAAAAGCTGCCCCCACATGACGGGCCACTTGTTTGTCCATAAGATGGCCATTCTGGCTCATTATGCTGCAGTTTCTCTCTGCAGTCAGTGAAGTGTTTGGCGTGACAGAGTACGGAGCCTTCCTGTATTTGTTCACTCTGCTCTTTCATGTTTAATATGACGTCTTACCTTTGCAAAAAGCTGATCCAAACTCTGCTCTCTGGCTCTTTCTTACAGAGTAGTGGGCTCATACCTTTTCACCCAAGGAGGAATATTTCAGCGTTCTCCTCCTTTCTTCCTTGCGTTTTCATGTGCTCCATGCACACAGACCTCTCCCACCCACTCGGCAGCAGTTTCTCGATCAGTTCCAAAGCTGGCCGGCTAATTTTCAGAGAAAGCGTAAATTTACGTCAAACACGTCCTAATGAACATGGGCGTGTGAACGAGCAGCTGACCTTAGATTTTCCTTTTTTTTTTTTTTTTTACTTGGCATGAGTATTTACTGGTTTACGTCATCATTTCAAATTGATTTCAGATCAGCTCTTCAGTTACCTTGTCCTCATTTGTCACAGATTTTGGCCACTTATACCATAATTGTTCAGGTTTTCAGTGGGCTGTTTCACTGATCTCAGAACAGTTTCTCAGTCTGCTGTGGTGGACTGCTTGCATTGACTGCGTGATGCAGCTGATTTGCATAATTTGATGCATACAAAACATGTTAAAGATGTTCATATAATAAAGTATATTTTAATAATAATAATAATTATTATTATTATTATTGTGTTATTATATTATAATATTATGATTTATATTATATGTATATTTAAATATATTAATAATATATTTTAATGTTTTATTATATAAATGCTATTTATTATTAGTACGTTATATTAGTATTATTGTCATAAATATATTAAGCATTCATATAATAAAACATATATAATAATAATTATTGTTGTTAATAATAATTATTAGTACTTTATTATAAATCTTATTTATATTTACATTTAAGTATATTAGTAATATATTTTATTTATTATATACTTTTTAACATCTTTATGATAATAATAAAAATAATAGTATTATTTTGCCAGTTGCTAATAACGATATTGTTATCATTTTAAAGATGTTAAAAATCATTCATTCAATAAAGTATATATTTTAGCATCTTTATGATAGTGAAAATCATTATTTTATTTTATTTTTATCATATAAATAATAATAATAATATTGTTATTAGTAGGAAATATATTTATATTTAAAAATATATTAGTAATATATTTTATTTTTATCATAAAGAGGTTAAAAAGCATTCATATAATATATTTCATATTATTATTATTATTGATAATAACAATAAATTATTTATAATACAAAAAATATTAACATTGTATATTATTATTATTATTATTGTTAAATATGAATAAAATCATATTTATCACAAGCCTGTGTTATTACAGAAAATCTCAGGATGTTTGCTTCATACATTCCACTGTTGAATGATTTGAATCTTTAAGATATTAACAGAAAACTTATGTCTACTATGTAAAGGTAAATTGTGTTCCTGTGCTGTCCTGCTGTAATATGCATCTCTCTGTTCAAGCTATAGTGATTATTAAAGCCATCATCTTTCAGATTTACTGCAGGCTGTTTCACTGATCTCAGAACAGCTTCTCAGTCTGCTGTGGTGGACCACTGTCGCTGACTGCGTGACGCAGCTGATCTGAGACCTGCTGTTGAAGCTATGATTCCCAGCTCGGGCCCGTGGCTTGTGAGTGCAGATGATGCGGTTCAGTGCCCAGGGGAACATGCTGCTGGAGTCAGCGTCACGACTCAGAACAGCAGCTATGTCACGCTGGGGAGGAAATTCTTCAATACGCCACATCTGCAGAAAGAGAGAGAGGGGGAAGATTGTATACACTGTCAGTTTAAAGTGATATTATTCATCTCAGTGCAAACAAACACCCATAACACACTCTCTCTCACCATCGCATGTGTGAGGAGGGCTCCAGTTCTGCGCGTAGGTGTTTATTAGTGAAACATGCATGTGTGCTGCTTTATACGTGCATTTCGGCTTTGCACATGAAGCGCTGTATGGTATAGAGCGGTGTAAATGTAATATGTGCGCTGTGTGTTTGCATGTGTGTGTGTTCCAGGCTTTCCCAGAGAACACTGTGTTGTGTTAGTCGTGACTGCTAAAAAGCAGTTAGCTGATGACAGGGCTGCGTTGCTAGGCAACCGGTGTCATGAGCGCAGAGGAGCCTCTCGTAGCTGGATGGTGCTATCGGTTTTCTCTACACACACATGCACACGCACACACTCTCAGCCTACACATACACACATCCCTCTCACCCCACACACAAAAAACAGAGATGCACACACATGCACACGCAGATATTCACATATTCTCACTCACTTTATGCACACACAAACATTAGACATTGCATATCAACCTTGATAGAATTGCCAATATTTAATACTAGTTTAAGCTTGAGTTAAAGAAGTTTTTGGGGAATTGCAGAGAATTATGGCAGATGTGCAGGAATCTGCTAAATGGAAAAGGAATGAGTTCAGATTTGAATGAAAATGTGAGGGTCTCTGAAGCTGAGCAGAGTTTGTGTTTGCTTTGAAAGAAGTTCATTAAAACAGTATGATTTCCCCTCAAGGAAGTTCAACCATAGCCCCACCCAAAGAAGATTCTCTTTTTGTCATATTGAAAATGTTTACAATACCGAAACGTTCTGACATGTGAATTCAAAAATGCAATGGTAAGTTTTCCCAGCAGCACCTTGGTGCAGCCTGACCAAGGCAACTGTATGTGTCTTCCCTCATATATAAACATACAGAGAGAGGGAGGGTGAAAGAGTATATATATATAATATATATATATATATATAATAGATGGAAGTTTTTGCCATGACGCACAACACGTAATTTGGGACAGTTTTTGACATATGGGCACATGCGTCATGCCGATTGTCTTCTAAGAATATGCCCACCTCTGTAAACCAACTGACTTGAATAAAGACAAAATAATGAGTTAGCTGTATACAAACAGGAGAAGCTCAGAGCAAACTTGCATGTGTTAGATGAAACAAGAAAAAGCATTAAAAAGGGTTATGAAAAGCTCATTGTATCCTTTGGAGATCCAGCAATTTATTATATTAGATGCATAATAAACATTATTATTATTATTATGTTAACATCATCATCATTATGGTTACTATTATTATTATTATTATTACCGTTCAAAATTCTTGGGCCAGGATAAAAAACTGTTATGAATGAAGTCTGTTGTTCACCACAGCTGCATTTATTTGATCAAAAATTCAGTAAAGATAGTAATATTGTGAAACGATATTAGAATTGAACTGTTTTCTATTTTAATTTCTTTTGCAATTATATTTTTTATGAGATGGCAAATTACTACTGTCATTACTACAGTCTTCTTCAGTGTCATATAGTTTTTAGGAAATCTTTCTAATATATTGATTTGGTGCTCCAAACTTTTTTTAACGAACAGAATGTTTGAAGAACAGCCTACTTTGAAACAGAAATCCTGTGTAACATTATAAATTACACTTTATAATATACACTATATTATACACTACATAATATACACTATAATACACTACCGGTCAAAAGTTTGGGATCAGAACGATTATTTATGTTTTTTACAGGAGTTTCTTATACTCATCAAGGCTGCATTTATTTGATCAAAAATACAGGAAAAAATTTAATATTGTGAAATATTATTATGATGTAAAATAACGTTTTTCTAATTTTCTCGAATTTATTTCTGTGATGCAAAGCTGAATTTTCAGCATCATTACTCGATAATTCTAATAATAAATCAGCATATTAGAATGATTTCTGAAGGATCATGTGACACTTTATACTGGAGTAATGGCTGATGGAAATTCAGCTTTGCATCACAGAAATAAATGAGATTTTAAAGGATATTAAAATAGAAACCATTATTTTATATTGTAATAACATTTTGCAAGATTACTGTTTTACTGAAGTCTTACTGATCCCAAACTTTTGAATGGCAGTGTATATAAAAAATAATAATAATAATGAAATGAAATGAAATACTGACCCTGACTGTTTTAACAGTAGTGTATGCTATTTGTTAAATATTAAAATTATCACATTGTCCAAAAGCACTTGATATAATTGAAAATCTCATGATGTCCACATTAAAATTTAACAATGGAATGTATATGTAAGAAGGTAAATTGTGTTTGTGTAATGTCCACTCTGTCTGTAACACTGTAATTTAGAACTTACTGTGCCTTTTGCAGCACTACAGCACTTTTGCCGTTTATTAGAAAAGCTTTTATAGTTTATTAGAAAATCAGGAGCATTTTCAGACTTCTTGTAGTGTAATTACTGCTCCCTTTGTTGCTACCAATTAGATACCAAATTAATGGTCCAGACTGTCCTGTTCAGCCAATTACATGTGAGAAGAGTAAGGTTTTCCAACATCCTTTGAGTCAAAATCACTGTATAGTGTGTTTAAACCCTTTATTGTCAATGAAAGAAACAAAATAAAAGTAAATAAGCAAATAAATAATCAAGATTATGAGTATGACTGATGAAAGTAATTATTACGTGGATTATATGTGTTGATTGCTCTACAGTAGTGCTCAAAATTGTCTATTTGAAATGTTTTTTTCTTTTTTCTTTTTGCAGCAGTTGAGCATTATAGCCAGTCACAGACATGTCCATTGAACAAATTAATGTAATGATGAAATGGCCATTTAAATTGGTCATTGCTTTGCGAAATTTTGGGGGAAAAATATATAAATTAATGTATTTTAACATTTGAATAATGCCACCATTTATGCAATGATGTATAAAAAAAATGGAAAGAGTTCTCAGCTTGGTTTGGATGTGTAGCTACATAAAAATAAAATGGCATGAAGTCTCCCCACACAAAAAAGTACTTGAATGTAAATTATATTAATAATAATGGAATAATAATAGCTTAATATCAAGACAAATGATCAGTCCACCATCTTTTCTCTTCCTCTCAGGAGTACATTGTGTCACTGATTAGTCCTGTGCATAAGCACCGTGAGCGTTTGACTCTTTGGCTGCAGCGGCGACTGCATGCCCTACGCGCAGCTATTGAGTACGAGAGCTGTGCCGTGGTGCAGGTGAGGGACCATGCACTGGAGCTTCAGGGAGGTCATGCGCACGTAACAGCTGCATGCGCTATGCTGCAGCGCCTGAAGATAGAGCATCGCGGCTGCCGCGAACCTCAGCCCTTGCCCGCTGCCGCCGGCCACGACTCTCCAGAAGAAGAAGAAGAGGAGGAGGAGGAGGAGGAAGAAGCTGGGGAAGACGGGAGTAGTTCTGAGAGCGACGGCGAGGCACGGTCGCGGAGCCGGAGATCTGGAGGAGCTGTCAGTGCAGCGGGGTCAGGAGAAGGAGCAACCGGAAGGAAGCAGGACCTGCTCATATCAACCAAACCTCACCGGCAGCTATGCCGCTCATCCTGTTTGGACCGTCCCAGCTTCAGCCAGAGCAGCACCTTACAGGAGTTGCGCGCAGATGACACCCAGAGAGCCCAAATGCCCTTGCGTCAAACCAGCGATCGAGATTACCAAACCAAAATGGACTTTGCTCTGAAACTGGGCTACTCCGGAGAGCAGGTGGAGTCTGTTTTGAGTAAACTGGGGTCCAATGCACTAATCAATGACGTATTGGCCGAGCTGGTGCGGCTAGGGAATAAAGGAGATCCAGAGAGCCAGGCAGCAGTGGGCTCTGCCGGTTTAACGCCACGGGTGATGGGAGCCAAAGAAGCCATAAGCCCTGAGGCATCACTGGAGGAAGACCCATCAGACACGTATGACAACCTCCGACCAATCGTGATTGATGGATCCAATGTTGCCATGAGGTAAATGCTAATGAGAACCAAACTCTTTCAACAAATATTGTTTAAAACATACAATTTCTATCATTACTGACAAGGCCTACATATGCATGTTTTTAGCCTAGCAGTCAAAGTTAACTTGAGACGCTGTTTGCAACCCATTGTACACTGTAATCCAATATATTTCAAGCTAAAATTGAATTATATATATATATA